TTTTCGGGGATAATAGTGGTGGCTTAAGGCAGGTGGGGACTGTACCTTGTTGTAGGGGTTGAAGATGTGAGTGAACATCTCCGCTAGCTGAGCGTATTTCACTTTAACTGTCTGCTTCTGTTAGTTAATAATAAACTTTTTAAACTCTAGCTAGGCCGGGGCGAAGTCAAAGTGAGCAGCGCCTTTGTTCAGTCACATGACTTCCTCATCCCTCCTCTCTGCTCCAACCACCTTCTATCCTCTTCTACCTACCCGGCTCCTTCCCTTCCTACCTCCTATATGAAGGAATGATTGCTTGTAATGTAGAAGTTTCCATTAGCATGTTATCTTCAATATGAACACTTAACGTTTTAGCTCTGATGAGCTTTCCAACACTATGTTTCTGCCCCACGTCAGTGGAAACATGTGGCAGTTGTGATATCAGAGCACACGATGGTGCTGCTGTAGTGTACGGAGGTCATTCCCAAGGTGTCTCTTTCTTGCTCAGAGCTTTTAGGGTAAAGTAATAAAACAAAGCATGCTATTAGAGAAACTAAAACAATTAAATTAGTTAAAAATGTAATTTACCAAAATCGTGGGGAAAAAATACTATCCTGTGCTTTGTTGCATTTTTTTCTGTGATCATTTTTTATTTTCTAGGCAGAAATAACCAATAGACACTTTCCAAGATGGATGTTTTTAGCTGCAGAAACTGGCAATTGTATCTTTTATTCATGACGCAAATGTAAACAAAATGAGCGGCATTCTGAGATCATCTCTCAATCTATTTAAAGGTTCCCACGTGAGTTTATCTTGATGTGTCCGGCATATGCCATAATTACAAAATAATTTATGTTTTTTGCTTTATTTTCTGGAAATTTGAAAGGGAAGTTCGCTAAAAAGGGTTGCTCAGTATTTGTCTCCTCTGTAGAGAGCTATTCCACGGCAGCACATTACCTCCTGGTTTCTCAAGACTTGAAGTCTACCTGTCTGATCGTCTTGTGTGTTTATGTCGCGTGTCCTCTTTCCAGGTTCCATTATGGAGAGGAGGCCGTGACTCAGGCTCCAAAGCTGTTTTGCTTTTCATCTTTAGGGATCCATTTTATTAGGTTGGAACATAAAATATATTCTACACTGAAAAAAAAAGTCTTTTGAATTTACATGAAAAAAATATGTACATCGGTTGCACATATTATATTCATGTTTAGTCAAAATGATTCATTTCTATTTAATGTACTTAATTTTTATTTGTAAAACAAACATGATTTTCTCATGTAAATTCAAAATATTTTATTAATGTTAATTGTATTAAATTATTCTGATAACCCAACTTATTTTTTTTGTGTTACTTTAAAATGTCCCTTTTATGTTAAGTGTATTCAATTCTCACCTATTGAAGCAACATGAGATTTTAATGTGACTTTAAAATGTCCCTTTTATGTTAAGTGTATTCAATTCTCACCTATTGAAGCAACATGAGATTTTTATGTGAAGTATATGCAATGTTGTTCTGTTAAATTAACTTCCTGCTTCCTGCTCAAGTTAGTCTGATAATGATCCTGGATACTTTTCTGTATAAATTCTACATGCTAAAATTATTTCTGTATGGCGATTTCTACTAATCTCTTACCTACAGAATTTACTCCTTTAACATTTTTAAAATAAATAAGGCAAAACAAAAACGTTTAGTTTACAACTGTATTGTCATAGAACAATAGAAGATTCAGTGTAATGTATACACAAACACATGCACACATTCACAAACAAATCTCATATTAGAACAAAGCACCTTTTTCTTTCACAAGAAACACTTGGTATGCAAGTTATCAAGAGTGTGTAGTAAACATTCATGACTGCTACAACCTGAGACAACATTATTTTGGTCCTTAAAACACCTTCTGAGTTACATCAAGCCAGCATCAAGAGAATACTATACAGCCAGGCTAATGCAGGAATGTCGTGCAAAATATGTGCAAAAAACATTACATTTACAATTTCTTAACAAAAGAAAAGGACACATGTAACAACCATTATTGTCCTGGCAAATGTAGATCTTGTGCTTGAAAACTACATTTGGTTTTGAAAATAAAGTAATACAATAAGAGTTATGGCTTGCTTTCCCACCACTACTATAAGTCAGTTAAGAATGTGCAAAATCCAAAAATCACCTCCAAATTTGAAAACAGTGCAAACGGTTAGAGGTCTATTAAACACATCTGACAAATGCTGACACTTAAATGAAAAAGGCACATGACCCTGAGAAAAAAAAAGAAAAAAAAAATACACTACACTTGGTAGCGGCCCATCACAGAACATGCAGGTGACTGGTTCCAATAATCCTACTGAAAAAGCAGCAATGGGGTGTCCTTACCCAAAGTGAAGGAGTTC